TACCGATCTTTTGACCGACTACTAATTTTGTCTGTCTCTTAAGTCATTTTAAAAGTGCATTCTTTTAATACGGAGAAATGATATTAAAGATCTAAGTAGAGTCGTTTTCCATGCAGTCAAGGCAAAAACGCCTCTATTCCAAGTCAAGTCAGACTTGACTGACATGAAGAGTCTTTTCGTTGAGTGAGACTTGCAAAAATCCTGACTTGTCCAGCTCTGCGTGGTACAGGGAAAAAACGAGCTTCGAATAAATACCAGTATATGCTTACAATAATGGTACAAAACGTCTGAAGTCCAATATTGATATTAACTGCAGTGAGCGACATTGAATACATACAAAAAGAGTGAATGAATACGACACGCAGTGAGAGAGGGATGAATTATGGTTGGAAGAGAGTGGAAGTGATTAGCTAGTGGAAGAATAGGTCATATTTCGTTACACACTCGGAGTCATTGTGCTCGGTTGTGCATCAGATTTAGATCAGTTGTAAATAAAAAAGAAGCAACTCTGTTTCTTTTGTCTACACTCAGTTTGTTTTACTAATCTAACAATTCAGTTTGGGAACTTGCCAGCTTGGCTATTTAACTGAATTTCTATAACCCAATACTCTCAGTTGATAGAGCCAGCCAACCCGACATCAAATAGCCCATCATACTAAATTCTTATTCACATGTGACGAGTGAATTATGAGAGATCAGCAAATGATAAAACTTGAAGTATTATTAATACTTCAAGTTGCTTGTCTCAAGTGCTTTATTATGTTTGTTAAACATAATAAAGCAAGTACACTCAGCTATGCAAAAAAGACACATGGCTTTCCCAAAGAAGATGTTCCTCAATCCTTAACCGTTATTGAACTTTTTTAGATCATGTGAATATTTCTAAACTTGGTTTAACTAACCGAGGAAGGAATAGTATGGGAAGACAGTAGATTTAACTTTCCCCGATGAAGTAGGCTATAGTTCATGCAAAAAGCAAAGAAATAAAATAGTCATCTTTCACATTCTGTCATTTATTGGTTTCTGTATTTGTCCAATCACAGCAGAGAAAAAATAGCTCCATCTAATGGTATTCACATAAATCGCGTGTTTCAAATAGACAACGTCTTTTCGATAAGTATCTCAAGACTAATAAATATCTGCTACTAATTGTTTATTGGTTTTTCAACATATTCTTCTTTCATCGAAGAAGTGTTTAATGCGATACGAAACTCGTAAGATTTTGTGAAATTTCTACTAAGCCTTTAATGCTACGAAACCACTTCGCCGGTTTCGTATACTCTGTACAAAACATTGTAGAAAAATCTTTTGTTTTGATGTTTCGTACCGTCTAACAAACCCTTTGAATTTCGAAATTTCACTACAAAACCATTAAAAATTTCGAAAAATACACGAAACCTTAATGGTTTAGTTGTGGAGCCTTTTTTTTAGAGAGCAGTATTCAGGACGCTGAGTAGCCTATCGAAACGAAAGTACATTACATATCCTCTTTCGCACCTCCACATTCACACCCACTCTCACTCGAAGGTTTAATTCAGTCGGAAACATATGAAGGTTTCGTTTCGGGTGCAATACCCCGTCTGTTCGGGTGTTGGTGGCTGTTGGTGGTAGTATTTCGTTCAGGGTACCTCAGATGTAGGTCCAAGTGGTCGTTGGTGGATGTTGGTGTAGGGTTATCTGACGAGCTATATCGATCTAAAATGGTTTCAGGTAGTTTGGGGTGTTGGTGAGTGATGGTATCTTTTGCAAATACCGGCTCGCTTCACTTGAATCGAAGTTTTTAAGAACACACTCAAAGTTTAAAATATTTTATTTTTCTTCATATTGTTACTTGTTAGTTTACACCATGTTTTGCAATTATTTTTATTTTTATTCATACAATCGTAAAATTTTTATATTGCTTTGAGCAAGCATTGTGAAAAGCTTCAGCCGCTTCTTCATCTTTAATTTTATTTACGTCTGAGGCTTTTTCTCACGTACAGCATAAAAAATATATTTCGTTTCTTTCGTAAACGTTTTAGCTCACTAGAAAACTATGGTTTATCCCACTTTTTAACTGTGGATTTCCATGGAATTACTTTTTTGCGGCTATGTCAGTCACTTAGGAGATTTTGTTGTCAATCGACAAAAGTAGACTGTTATTAGTATTGCTATTCACTGTTTGTAATTATGAGTGTATTAGAAAACCAAAATATTTCCAGTCTGTACACTTATAATTGTAAATAAAAATAACCAGGATATACAAAAAACTTAGCATATGTTACATGGAAAAAAAGAGGCAAAATAATGAATGCAAATCGAACACTTTTCTTCAGCAATGAGCGATCGTCCGACCTCTGCAGCAGAATTTTCTGTGGACTATATAATAAACTATTATTCCTTTTACATTCTTAACTTATTGATTTTAATAAACAACTTTTGAAATGAAAACGTTGGTAGCAGTTGACTTTTCTGCATACCGATTTTCCTAGGTCATCCGAGAGTTCACTGGTGAAGATTTAGTCAAGCATGTTTATCTATGATTATGACTAATGAACAAATTATTCTAAATGCCAATATAAAATCTATTTGTTTTGTCGATTCGAATTTGTTTTTGTAGTTCCCTAAACCATCTGTGCAAACACTAGACTTTTCTGCTAAGACCTATCCGCCATTAGAACAGAAAATGCATCAAGTCTTTTTCAGCACCTCTCGGTGTGTCGATCGGGTCAGTAAATCAACTTACTACTACAAACACACGAGAAACAATAACAATACAACGCTTAGTATCGTCTGGTTTAACCCACCCATTAAGTTCCACAACTATACTTGGAGAGGCACAATCAGAAGAAACCCAGTCAGCGGATCACACAGTGACCACACAAACAATTTCCATAACAGCAAAACCTACTGAAATTCGGATTTCAAATGAAACTCAAAGAACAGGACCGACGACAACTATCGAAGCCAGGGAAGAAACACCGACAACCATGAACAGTAAGTAACACATTACAATTTGATTTTTATTTTGTTCTAGTTGGATGAACAGAAAATAGCTTAACCCTTTACCCCCCACAACAGTTTCAGAGGATCCACTGATCAAATAACTACTGGAATAGAGTATTGGTGACTCCAATATGGCAATAGTATGGACAGATCGATCAGGCGCACGCTCGTTTGGGCAGAGTAGTTTGGTCACCCCAGTGACCATCGGGGGGAATGACTTGAAAAAGTCCTGTTTTGGGCTTTTCGTAAATTTGATATAGTTCGACCAAAAAACATCGTAGAGAGCTCGAGTACATTTCATTTTATAGAGAATTGTTTGCTC